TTAAAGTGGACACCATCAATAAAATAAATAATTAATTGAAGAAAACTTAAATTTAAATACCTACACTCACCAAACTGTGGCGAAAAAGGAACGTAGAAATAGTTTTCCGATGGTAAAATATATATTTTTAATAATTAAATTGCCACTTATTGAGAACCTATAATTTAAATATCTGAATAAGTAGCACGATTTAAATGTAGATGGATTAACCCCCCAAGCATTTGGCATAAATTTCATGTTACAATGAAGTTTGAGCTTCCCTTATGAAGGATGATGTCTACAAGGACATGACTTCGAGTTCAAGCCCAGTGTGCAACCATTGAATATTCTAATAATCCTTTTTTTTTTCCTTTTTTTTTTTGGGTTGGGGGGGGGGGGGATGAATATTCTAATAATATTGAACGGCTGCATGAAACATATATGCAAAGGGTTAATTATATTAATAATCAAATCGAATAGGTATTAATTGAATTAATTATATTCTTATTAATTAATTAAAAATAAATTAATAATTAAATTCTTTAATTAAATTAAAATAATTTTAATTAATTTAATAAACTTTTTTAATGAATTAAATTTCTTAACAATTTTTTTAATTCAAATGTACAATTCATATAACATTGAATTGAAACGAAAGTGCATTGTGCACATTGTAATGGTGAAAATTAAAATCCAAATCGAATAAGTGTCTCTTGGTTTATGATTTCATTACTTTACGTTGCAGTTTGTGCTTATCTAGGCAGTGACCTTATTCGATTAAGGGCTTCGGTTTTGCTCGGAAGCATCATTCCGCTGTCGGCATTGTTTGTTTGGGATGCTATTGCACTTGGCCTTCCAACGCAAGCTGATCAAATTGTTGAGCTGATCAAACACAGATTCATGTAGGATTGTTGTGAATGGTTCAAATAGTTAGATAAATTAGCTGATTGGCAGGTGAATTTATTTCTTTTTCAGGGTAGAATGAAGTGAAGTTTCATTTATGGTAGAAGCATTTTCACTTCTGGCTGTTGGAACATCAATGATTGGCACCCTCATCGGCTTCTCGGAGTTCTTTAAGGAGCAGCTTAAGGACCTGTCATGGAATTCTTCTTCGTACAGGTTGCTCTAATTTATGTTGCTACGACTCTTTATACCTAAAGTATCGTATTAAACACCCATATCCGATACAATTTCGGAAATGAATACGAGAATGTGATCCAAATACGTGAAAAGTACCCGGAGTTTGGTACTTAACCCTGTATCTGACATTCTGTTTTAAAACTATGCAGATAACGCCATTGGCAGGGGATGAGGTACAGCAGGAACCAGACAAACCCTTAGCACTGACAAATTGGTGGGGAGAAACAAAAACAAGGTTCACAGCAATGGCAATGGTGGTCACTCCAACACTTTTAGTCTCCACAAACAGTTCCAGATGCCTTCTTGCTGCTACTGATATTGCTGTAAGTTCAATAACACATCTGAATCCACACTTGGATGCCATTTTTCTTTTCATTCCAAAGGTTTTAGGATGCAGAACTTCAAGCAGTAGGTTTTATTAAGCGTCTATGTAATTGAAGACCCAAGATTAGCTTCATCATAAGTTTCTGGGACATTGATGCAGGGGGTTACTGTATGACGATGCTGTATGGAGTTTCTTCCACCAGCAATGGCTTGGGCCATGGAAACCAGAGAAGGTGAAGGCATTAACATTTTAAGCCTGCAATTTTCAGAGTTGGATTGTTTGCCTGTTGTTTAATTGTGGAGCAAATTCTCCATGATTTCTTGGCATTGCAATTCTGAGAAAAAGGATACACAAATGTCTGAAATAGTTACAAGTGATTTAGTTGTTCATTTATCTCAATGATTGGATTAATTTGTAGATTGTAAAAATAATAAAATCTAATAGAATTAATTCCCTATCGATCACTTTGCATCATACCAGTGGCTACTTTAGTATCTACCCGCATTTCCTTTCAATCATATGAACTCATTCAAGTTTCATCTATTTGAACAAAGTGGAAGAAATATTGCTTACATGGACAAACAAATTTCAAACATGCATATAAAGGTGTCCATGAACCCATTTATCAATAGTGAGCTGAGATTAAGTTCCAGAAAGTACTGAAGAGAAACAATTTATATTTGGGAGCACACAATGAATTTTATTTCAGAACAGGAAGATGATAACATGGCACAACTAAAATAACAAAAAAAGGATAAATTATGACATTAAATTGTTCCCAAACATGAGCTCTAGGTTTTGACATAATCAAACAGGGACTGATTGAAGGTTGTCGACGACTAAACCGTCATTCTTCATGGAGAATCCCTAGTTTCTCACAGTTGTCACATTTTGCAAAAGCATCCGTACAACATCATGAGATATCCTTGCAGCTTCATTCTTCAAGTGATTGATCTTTGCATCTGTTTCGATCTCGAGCCGCTTCACATTAGCCCCCGAGTCTCCGCTGCTCTGTATGACAATCCACAAACATGGATAAGAATCAGATTTTAATTGAACACACATAAATCAAGAAGATTTACAGAAATTATGTAATTATGAGATAAATTAAGCAACAGATATATTCAGTAAAAGGATCAGTTGGTCATATATAGATTTTAAGCAATCAGCACATTGCTGTCATTGAAACTGGCTAGATCACAAAATTTACGAAGTCATACCTCAGCTACCTTCTTCTGAAACTCATACTCTACTTGAGCACGATATTCAGCAATCTCTTTCTCTGCTTCTTCCTTGGCCTGTCTTAGTCTAGCCATTTTTGCTGAAGGAAAAATACAGAAGTGAGTGGACATCGAATTCTCCCAAAAAAAAGGGAATGACTACTACTATTGGAACAGAAACCATGAAAGTCAAATCAACTTCTCTTCTATGTTTAGTTCGCATCTAAGCATTCGTCAAATGGCAGTAGCCTAATAAGCAAACAAAAACTATCACGTAGCTTCCACGAAGTCCACACATGCTTGCAGCATTTATATGATTACATAGTGTAATCAAGTCTCTTTATCAAGTGACATCAAGGGTGCAAAATGTGTTCTATAAATCCCGAATGTACCATTCTTAAACTAAGACTGCATCAATGCAAAACAATTAAGAAAAATGAATAAATTTCTCAAAGTGGTGAGAGAAACATAGAACAAGACTAGTGCTACCATTTCTTGAAGCATTGACAATGTGCTGAGCCTCTTGTTCTGCAGCTAGCAGTTGTTGGATACCATTGTGGCCTCTGTTGGCTTCCATATTTGCTGAATTCTGTTACAATTAATCCAAATGTAAGTTTTTTTTTTGGTGGAGGTGGGGGGGGGAGAACAAAAATAGTACTCTAGTAATTGTATAGCTATAAACTGCAGTCACACCATAAACTGAACAAAATCTATTGTAACAACAGAAGGCCGACTAATAACTTCGGTTTAATAGTAGTAAATCATGATAAGAGACTAAAAGGCCTTCGTTAGATCAATTATGAACATGAACAACAAAAGCATTATAATACATGTCCCATACCGCCCTTTCGACATCCCTAGCTCAAACGTCACAAAATTCAATTGCCATTATTAGATCCATAGCAAATTTAAAATTCAAAGAGACTTCTAAGAATCCAAGGACCTTATTTTCATGCCTACCAATCAATTACATGTGTATTTTAAGACAGCCATATAATGCACTTTCCTCGCCTAAAAACATAAACCCGTGGACAAGTGATTCAATCTAAGTCAAGTTTAACGTCCAAATCTTATACATCAAATTCTTATGACTAACATTATTCGATCACCAAGATAATTGACAACAATACCACCATTAGAAAGACCAGTAATCTCCTTCAAAAATTCTCAACACCCTATTTTCAATTAGCTCAATATCACTAAAATGACCAGGACCATCACAAGAATTTAAACTCAGTTTCTAAGCAAAATAGTAACTAACCCATCAAATCTAAGTCCATAAAAAGTAGGAAAAAAACTACCCATAAAAGGTATTCACTAAAATAATCTAAATCTAAGCGAATTACAATTATAGGTTAACTAAATAGTCAGATCAAAGTTTTTTTTTTTTTTCATAAGAAGGGTGAGCTTTTAGATTTATATGATTTTCAAATTATTTAATACAATTGACATAGTTAAAAAGCGGTGATCCGGAGAGTTAAACAATATCAACACTACGAGAAAAACGACTGAAAACATCAGGAAATGTAAGGAAGAAGTAAAGAGAAAGATTGGAAGAGAAGACGTACCCAAGAGAAGCGGAGTTTGTGATTTGAGATTTAGCAAGAAAATTTAGTGGGAAATAAATAATGGATACTTATTTAAAAGAAATATAAAATAATTTTATGAAAATTATAATAAATATAATATTATATTTGATAAACTTTGATAATATATGAACAATGTAAAATCTATCATTCACACAATATTCACTTGCACTAATATAACATAAAATTAATTTTCCAATTCTATTTTTTCAGATTATTTTCGTTTAGCTTAATTACGTATAACATATTTTATTTATGAAAATTATACTTGTCGAATTTTAATTTAAATTAAATGATCAAATTTAAACCAAGTATTTGTATATTAAAACATCAATAAGTAAAAAATTGTACCATTTGTAAATTGTTGGAGAACAAATCCAAGGCCTTTTAGATGCCAAGCAAGAAGCTTCATAGTGCGAAAAAGTTGAAGGACTATTTTGGCATTTTTTAAATAAAAATTTAATAAAACTAGACCTAAGATAGGATTTTCGAGTACAGATGACAACGGATCGAATATCAAAACTACACATGAACCGGATTCAGTGATTGGAGAAAGAGCCAACCACGTTCATGTACCAACGATGAAGATCCGGAAAATATAACGACGATGAAGAAGAATTCAATCATATCCTATAAGAATCAAACCTGTATTATACATTTGATAAGATAACAACGGGCCAAGGATTGGCCACAAGTTTACTACAACCATGAAGAACGCAGTCATTAGTCTTTAAGTTGTACAAACTTTTATTCAGTTTATTGCTTCCTATTTGTTTTGTACAATTCTGCTGTAGAAGGATGGATTGCAGCGCCTGAAACAAATGCCATTTGCAGCATCAGTTATCTTCTTCATCGATGCAAGCTGAATGCAGTAATTCAAAACGTTAGGTGATAGTAACGAATCTTGGCACTTAGAAACAAGAAAAGATGTATATAACAAGGAAACATGGATCGAAAGAGAACACATATATAAACCGGGTATAAAGAGAGCTAGTAAAGCCGGACATGGCATCCATCGATGTGAAACATGATTGAGTAGCGAAATTCGAAAGCAATTCCAGAAACCATAAGGACATGGAACAAAAAAAATGTAAAATAAAAATCATCGCTAGAAGTTGATATGCATCAGTGGAAGCAAAAGGTCACAGTGTCTTTCGGGTTTCTTGCTTTTGATGGCAGGTAAAACCGAGTTAACCGATACTATTTTGAAAAGTTTACTAACAGAACATATAGAAACAGGTTTTTGCTTATACCTTTGGTTCTTGCCCAAGCTCAATAAACAGAAACACAAAGGAAAAAGAGATGGAAACTTGAAAAGTTACAATTCTTCAAAGTTCAAGGCCGATCGTGTATCGGCTCATGATAAATGTTAATATTGGTCCCTCTTGGACTTCTTATTGTCAAACAACATGATAAACATCCTCAGTCAAGGATTCATATATGGACTTAAGTGTCGCCTAAATTTCATAAACACGAGAAGAATTAGCATTAGACTGTTTTTACTTACCCCTAAACATCTACAGTTAGACCAGTACATGTTATAAAACAAGTCTTGAAAAAGCCAATCAATTTGGTCAATTCACTCTTTCATAATTTTTCCACAAGACCATTCTCAACTACAACAGGTGTTATGGCTAAAAATTTCCATCTTTAAACTTCACAATTCTTTGCAACTTGTATCTCAAAGACATTAGCTTCAAAAAGTTAACTTCATATCTCCGGTTCTTGGAGCAAAATCTGGCTCTCCTTGTTTGGTCAGTTCACTCTTCCTTTAATCAACAATTCAAGGTTAAGAGTACCAAACAGAACTCATTGTTCACGGGTTCGTATTCGGAAAACCATGCTATAAGACAAAGTTAAAAATACTAGCATGAGCTTCCACCATAAAAATGCTTGCACTATCATGACCCTAAATCAAACACCCTAAGCCAAATTTTTTTCACAGAACTACTGAAATACGAACGCAGAGATTACTAACAGGATCATCATCAAGGGATAAGGCCGAAAGAATATGACCCATCACTCTATTTGAATGACTGAGCAATTTAATTAATTAATATGTCAAGAAAAGAGGGTAATTAACTTGCTACAAGACTTCCAATTTAAGAAGGAAACATTAAGAAATTTTAACTATTACACAAGACAATCTGTACCGAATCTCTAAGTTGGAATTATTAAAATGTTATGGATTCAAAGATTTCATCTCCATAGAGCCTAAGAAAATACTGAAGTCGCATAAAATTAAAATTTCGTGTAAGAAAGCATAAACTAAACCTCGCAAATCAACAAGAATGATCACAGACCACAAACTACAAGGAGACACCATGATCGAGTAAACTCAAAAACCCAAGTCTAGAAACACCATAACCCAAACATAAAATCAAACCCCCATAGTAAAAGAGCTAATTTTCAACCAAAATTTCCTGGGAA